GAACCTGTACAGAAATAATTCTTATTGGTTGCCTCTCGTAGTTCTTTTTTTTATTTGTTTAACGCGAATCCCGATGCAATGTGCTGCATCCCACCTCCCGCCCAACCGTCCGAGGGGCGCAGTCGTATAACGTACGACACGAGCTGCAAAGTAAAAAAAGAATTCTAACTACAAGTATATTGAAACAAAATTGAAGCGATAAGGGTGAAAAATTAAGTGTTAGTCTAGTAGGGATAGAGAAATTTAATTGGCTCGTCAACACAGAAGAGTCAATTTCACCAATAATTAATTTATGGATAAATATTACACCCAGCATGGTTCTACGATTAGTTAAAGAAGGAAGGTTAATCATCAGAAGTCTGCTGGAGTATGATGGTAACCGCACACGAGGATCCCAATTAAAACCACGAAGGAGAAATAACAAGAATTGTTTCTAAACGGATTCAATTATGTCTTGATGGATAGAGTACTGTCGTGAGCAGATACAAGAGGCATACTCAAGTATAGGTCGTACAAAAGATATATAAGGGGTTTTTGTCGTGTACGGATCGTCAAACTCCTTCGACCATCGCTTAATGAAACCCAAAACAATTCTGGCCTTATTAACCACGGGCTTAGCATGAGAGTCGAATTAAAGTTTATGATCAAGGATGACACCTAGATAAGAAGTACTGTTGAAGTACTGTTGACACGCTCGAGCGGTAAGCTATCAAGGATGTAAGAAACCAATTGAGGAAGGCTTCAGTAGAAAGTCATTACCTTACATTTGGAGCAGTTTAAGTTTAAGAGGTTGGCTAGACACCAAGCCTGAAACGCATCCATGTCAGCTTGTAAAAGATAACATGATACCATATCTTTAAATGTAAGGCATACATCATACATACATTAATACTCGAGAGTGAGCCAGTATCGAGGGAAGGTCATTGATGAAAAGAGTAAAAAGTAGCGGGCCAAGATCACTACCTTGAGGAACACCGATAGTCACCTCAATTCGTTTAGAAAACGAATTTCTGAAAGGTACCTTTTGGCTTCTGTTACGCAAATACTCTGAAATCCAGTTCAAGAGATTGACTGGGAAGCCGAGAAGACATCATTTATGAAGCGGCAAGGAGTGGTTGACAGAGTCGCAAGCTTTACTAAAATCAGTGTAGATGACGTCAGTCTGCATGCTTTTCTTAAGAAGGTTAGTGGTTGTAGATCTGCGCTTCACGAACCCATGCTGGGAAGGTTAAAAAAATAAAACTACATAAATGTTGCAGTTGAGATGTTATTATTCTCTCAAAAGCCTTAGGTATAGCGGATAATTTGGAAATACCTCTCGAGTTTAGATTTAAGACCTCTAACATTCTGGTAGGCAAGGTCGAAAGAAGAATTTAGTTTTTTGACGCAGCAACTAAAGTTGATGCGCACTAGAAACAGATGGTAATAAAATAAGAGTCAGATTTTTCTTTTTGGCCTTATAATCTTTGACAATTAAGTGTTCCGTCCAAAACTCTTTACAAATATTAGTAATTATTTCTGGCGGAACATTTATTTTAAAGGATGCAATATCCCTTTCATAGGCGAACTTAAATTTCTCCACGTTTATACCTGGGGCTTGAAGTTTTGCCTGTATAAAGTTCAAAATGGGATCCTCAATTACGCTTGCCGTCACACTCCGTTATACGTTTTGTACTTCGCGACTCGTGTCGTACGTTACACGGTTGGTTATGAGGTGAGATGCAGTACATTGCATCGAAACTCACGCGAAAAAAAACCCAACTAAAACAATGGCGGAATTGCTCATACGGACGTCAGGAGACGCCTTGCTACTCACTACTAGTTAACTAAAGTACCAAAAGTGGTGTTTCTTGGGAATTGGTATCTACTGACATATATAGCTTTTGAATACCATTATGCCTCGCTCAAATATAATAATTGGTATAGCGTTTTACAGAAAGTTCAACAGGCCAAGTATTGGATTTCCGAGAGAGAAAGGTTTCGCGTACCCTGTGTGCACTTTTGGCTGGTGGTCAGCCAGAGACGCTAGCTCTCTGCTAAGCTGTACGCTCTAGTTGGCTGCCAAACTGCAATGCAAGCTTTCGCAACTTCACCTGGAGTTTGCGCACTTCCCTTCCCTCTCGACAGTGTTGGGCCACCACTCAGCCAAATACGACTAATTGCCGTTGTGTTTAAATTTAAACTTTGACTATCTTTTTTAAGCTTCTTATGTTTCGTATCTTTAATTTTACAGAAACGACTCCTTGACTTAATTCACTATCACGTACTAAACATACTATGATAATATGTGGTACTATGATTTAAGGTTTGCCTTCTTCGCTTGCCGTCTCATATAATAAACTGTAGTATTTATTCATTTAGCATGGTTTGTGAGGTGTAGGTTTATTCAAACCTAATTTAGCCTTCTTGAGCTTTCTTCTCTACTAAAAGAACGAAGACTGACGTATTTTTACTGATTTAAGTAAGGAGTTCAATCCATTCAATCATTTCTTGCTAGAAAGTATATCTTCTCGACTTCCCAGTATTGAAAAGAATTAATTAATTAAAAATTATGATACTTTCAATTTTTTTATATAGGCTCCAGGATGTTGACGATGGCTTTTTCGAAAAGTTTGGGTCCCTTTTAAGACAAAAGTCACAACTGGATGAAAATATTTTTAAAACTTCACTGGCTCCGTTTCATGAAGAGGAAGAGGATGTTATTACAAAGGTTGATGCTGGATCTTACGCCGACAGTGAAGTGGAAACAAAAAATTATGATAATGCGGCATTGGGTAGCGTGCCAGATTTATTATTCGTCGAAAATATAAGAGAAAATGTTTTTGATACAACAATTTGTATGAATGTAAGTAAATTGGATTTTTAGAACGTAATATTACTATACACTTTTTTTTCATTTTACGAAAATCCCAATGCAAGTTACTGCATCCCACCTCTCGCCCCACCGACCGAGGGGCGCAGGGGCGAGGGACTCGCGAAGTACAAAACGAATTTAAACTTCGACTATATGCTAAGACTATCTACTTGAAGAGACTCCGAGTAGAATATTTTGTAATGCTTGTTATAATTATCACAGAAAATAGGCATAGGCATAGTTAGATGAGCACACAAGGATCCCAATTTCCCGAAGGGCAAACAAAAATAATTGTTTCTGTACAGATTCAATTCTGTCCTAATAGATAGAATATTGTGGTGACCACATATATGAGGCATACTCGAGTAAAGGTCGTACCAAATATATATAAAGAGTCTTTGTCGGGTACGCATCGTCAAACTCCTTCGGCAGTCGCTTGATGAAATCTAAAACAATTCTGGCCTTATTGACCACGGTCTTAAAATGAGCGTCGAATTTAAGTTAATAATCAAGAATGACACCTAGATCATTATCTGCATTTCAAGTACTGGTGACAGGCTCGAGCGATAAGGAACCAATTGGGGAGGGCTTCTATAGAAATTTATTACCTTACATTTAGACCAGTTTAATTTCAATAGGTTGGCTAAACAACAAGCCTGAAAGATAATATGATGCCATATCTTAATATGCAAGGCATAATTTCACATTAATACTCGAGAGTGAGACAGTATCGATAGAAGGTCATTGATGAAAAGAGTAAAGAGTAGCAGGCGAAGATGACTACCTTGAGGAACACCGGACGTCGCCAAAATACGTTTAGAAAACGAAGTTCTGAAAATAGCATTTTGGGTTCTGTTACGAAAATACTCTGAAATCCAGTTCAAGAGATTGACTGCGAAGCCGAGAAGTTATAATTTATGAAGCAGTAAGGAGTGGTTGACAGAGTCGATAGCTTTACTGAAATCAGTATAGATGACGTCAGTCTGTGTATGTAGACCGACGTTTAAGAAATATTTAGGGCATAAATATGAGTTTTCAAGTTTTAGGCGATGGGGACAGGTATCCAAAATCTGTATATACAAGAACCCATATACCAAAATTGCTCCATATTCATTAAATACAAGCTATTTACATGTACAGATACTAACCCATTTTCAATTGGTATAAAAAAAATGTATTCCATGATTTTTTGTTTGTTTATTATATTAAATTTGTGCATTTTCGTAGATAAAAAGATCGCATTTACGTCTGTGTATATTTGCGTATTATATATATGTATAAGTTATAAAAACCGATGATGAGGCAAATGTGCCTAACTGAAATCGTTGTTAATGCTTATTTCTGTTTCTTATCTTTACCGTACGTTTTCACAACTCCATAAAATTTTTTTATTCTAACTGGTACGGTATAAATCGGATTGGAGCTCCTATACATATGTATCTATTCAAATTTATAAAATTGTTAAATAATAAATGAAAACTATACAATTTCTCAAAATATATGAACTCGTAATTAAATTCAATTCAATTCTTATCATTCCCAAATGAATCTCTGAATAGACCGCAAATTTATTTAAACATTTCTCTTTCGATTTCAGCATTGAATACATTTCCTTGTGCTTCAAATATAAATATATTTACTTGTCTAGTATATTGTACATATATACATACATACATATGTAGTTTAATTGCAAACAATAAGAACAACATCATCAACGTCATTATGTGTTAAATGTGTGTTAAATTAATCATAAAAACAGAACCAAAAACAAATTAACTCATTCCCAAAGAAACGATTAAAAAGTCTACAAACTTGTTTGCTTTAGTATCTACTTATGTATATATGTACATAGATTGTTTTTGTGTACACATATTCTGTATGTACACAAAAATCATTTATTCATTCACTTGTTCTGCATAGCTTTTCTTTCCTACATAGTTTACAAAATACGTTTTTCATTATCATTGAGCTTTTTTTTTTAATTCTAAAAATAAAGTATGTGCTCAAAGCTCTACTATTTAATGCTTTTCTCTTCATCTTGTGAGATACTTGGAAAACAATATCGAATTCGAATGCTGCTCATACACACCCAAAAGCAGCCCACGGTCAACGCAATTAATATTAAAATTTTTAGTTCTCGGCATTGACACTGTTAATGGGTCTTCATTTTACACAATCGTAAAGTGTTTGGATACATGTGAAAATACGCATACTGATTTAGTTTGATACCAAAAACAATAGTGACATGAAAACAAATATTTACAAAAAAATTATCATAATCATGTGTACACCAAAGTGCGAAATGCTAAAAAAATAATAACGCAGAGTTTGATAAATTGGTGTTTAAAAATGAGTTATTTATCCTTGCCCCGAGTTCTATCTAATATCAGTTCTCGAAACTTCACCGACAAAAATTCAAACTTTCTAAGTTTAAACCGTGCCGCTGGTCATGAGAGGCGACAAATTCCAAAAGTATTTTCTACTCTTTCATTAAATGAAACAGCGGAGCGACGTAAACGAATTCTTAACAGAAATGGAAGTATTTCTAATCAGCATTTTCGTGGTGTTCACAAGCATTTATTAGAATCTCACACCAAAGTAGTTTGTCATTCAATGACAGTAAGTATAATTTTAACGATTATTGCATACATGAACCCATTAAAAATGGGTAAAAAGGTTATCTTTTATTTTGCAAGTGTAATATTTATGTGAAATATTGATTTTCGAACATGAGTTTATAAATGCTGATACACCAAATTTAGTATGTATACACAGGTACAAAATATTTCCGTTTTAAGATACTCCCCTTATTTAAACGTAAGCTCTTAATGTGTTTATGTGTTGGTCAATCATTTGGTGGGTGATGTTTCGCGTTCAAAGTAATTGCCATATGTAAATCATTTGGGACGTGTTTCACTCTTTTAGCAAAATCCAAGCTTCTTCTATGAAAAATACGATTGTCTGATTTGCCCTACATAACAACTTAATGAATACGCGTTTTTGAAATTCTGCTAGTGGGAGAGGCTGTTACTCCAATAGTAATCGTTTGCCTGCATAGCTTCAGTTTTATTGTATAGGCAACGAAAACCAAAAGTATTCCGGATGTTACTCCGAGATTGGTGATGGTGTTAACCTTGAAATTGGCTCGTAAAGCGCCTATCCTTTCGGTGTTCTTAGTATGGAGGTCTTTCATCAGCTGCAGTGACAACACCTCTTCTATTGCCGTTAAGGGTCTCTCCAGTTGGATCACGGCTGGTAGTCTTTAAGAAGTAAAATACCCGTATCTATTGATTCAATTGTCTTTATATGATCATTGCTAGTAATGATACATTTGTTGTGTCTACTTGTTAATAATTTAAAAATGCAGTTATCATTTGAATCTATAATGTTTGATTTTAAACACATACTGATTTTATTAATATTTTTACACTGACTTTTACAATAGCAAAAACTGAATTTTTACACTTTATAACATTGCCACACCTACTGTTTACAAATTTCTTTATCTGCTTTTTGAATGAAAATGGAATATTTTCTTCTGTAAAAATGTTAATTATTATTGAGTGTACTCTAGTTTCTTCTTCGGATATTATAAAAGTATTTACTATATTAGCTTTTAACAAATGTAAAGCAAGGCTTATATTACATAAATCTTCTTTAATTAAATCTATTTTACATTTTAATTGCCCAGAAAGAATATTTTGGAAGTCTTCTGAATTTTTTATAGCTTTAATTATTACATTATTATCGTTGGTTATCTTAATTATTCTTTCTATAATGTCCTTATTTATTAGAACTTGTCCCTCGTTATTTTAAAACCCTGAACCCATTGAAAATGGGTAAAAAGGGTATAATGATTTCGTGCAAATGTATGTAACAGATAGAAGAAAGCATCTCCGACAACATAAAGTATATATATTCTTGATTAGCATCAATAGCCGAGTCGATCTAGTCATGTCCGTCCGTCCGTATGCCCGTCCATATGTATGAACGCAAGGATCTCAAAACCTATACGAGCTAGAGAGTATTTTAGCTGTAGGTCCTCCTACTACCTCATAACTATAAATCAAGTAAAAATAACAATTTATGCCGCCCATCGAGATGTGCCAGAAGTGAAATACAATTGTCATTTTGAGAATGCATGAATATTTTATAGTACAATAAGATCTACTGATGAAAATAACATCATGATCGGGTAAGAAACACAAAAGAAAATGTGTTTCGGTTGCCCACGTGTTTGTGGCAGCTAGCGTAAATTGCAAGAAGTTCTGTATACACACATTCATGCGCGTCTTCTTTGAATTCTATCAACAGCATTGCAGTTGCTATTGTATTGTTTTCTGTGCTGCTATTTTAATTTATTTTTTCTCATTAAGACTCAATAATTGGTGTGGCTGTTAGGGAGAGGCGGGCAAGGGTAGTGCGGTTAATAACAAGTTCGAACCCCTGGAAATTTTTTTTTTTATTAATTTATCGTTATTACTTAAGCAAACGAGAGCGTAGCGCGAGCTGCATTTGGTGTTCGAAGAAGAGGGTTCAGGGTATCCTCTAGTCGGGAGTTCCCGAATAGAACCTCTTACTTGTTTTAATTTTAAGTTTTCTTTATTACTACTAAAGCAAACGAGCGCGTCGCACGAGCTGCATTTGGTGTCGGAAGAAGAGGGTTCAGGGTATCCCCTACTCGGGAGCTCCCGATTAGAACCTCTTACTTGTTTATTATATTGTTTAAATTATTTGATATTATTACGAAATCTTCATGGTCTGGATTTCCTGCAGTCCATTTCCATACAGATCTTATAAGAGAATCCGAAATTTTCCGGATTGTGTAGTGACGGTTGAGCGCTTTTTTTCTTTTACTATTTCTTCTTTAAACCTTTAGATATTTAAGTCCAAACTGTGTTATTTTGTTTTGTAAAAATGTTGTGCATACTGAATGACTTATTTTTTATTTGTGTTGTGAAAATCTAAGTCTTGCTGTTGTTTTTTTTTATGAGTTTGTTCACACATGAACACGTGACACCGAGTCTAAATTTTACCCTCGAGCGGTGCAGTAAAGCGCAGCACGCCGAACAAAAAATATCGAGCGGTGCAGCCAAGAGCAGCACGCCGAACAAAAACATCGAGCGGTGCAGCCAAGAGCAGCACGCCAAACCAAAAAACTATCGGGCGGTGCAGACAAGAGCAGCGCGCCGAACAGAAGACCAGACAGCAAAGGAGAGCGAGATCCAATGCTAGAAGGTGACCAAGGCCCATCCAGAGGGCAAACTCTTCAAGAAGTACTCCTCCCACGACCCACACCAGCGGCGCTTCAAGGGACACCTAAAAAACAACAAGGAGCCCTAGCATCTGGACGAGGAGAAATTAGTAGCGCTTACCAACAAGCGCTACAGAAAATCATCGCAGAAGAGCCACAAGCAGGACCGAAGCCCTTGTCAATAAAAGAATATTGGGCAAGGCAACCGGCGGCCAGGGCAGCAGCAGCAGCACGAAAGGCAGAAGAGGAAAAACTTCTGGCAATCCCGTCTGCCAAAGCCCCGAAAAGGAGGGGGCCAAAAAGCGAAACTGTACAGGAAAGAAGAGCCCTATCAGAACGGGTCAACTGGAAGCCACCACCAGCGTGGGACATAGCCACGACATTGTGGCTACGAATAGACGCAATCGAGCGTCAGGTAAAACGCAACAACATAAACAATAAAATGAGAGTGCGCCTTGTAGCGCACCCATGCGAAAACGGCGGCAAGATCGCCTCGCAATAAAACAAAAATTTTTTTTTTAAATACAGTACATTGAAGTAAAAGTTAAAATTAAAATTAAAAAGAACCTTTTATGTAAAATAAATAATAAGTTTTGTTAAAAATATGTTGTCAGACAAAGTCATAGAATTGTTGACGAAGCAGTCACAATTGGTGGAAAGAATTAGAGAGACAAGTAGGAGTAACTGCAAAGGCAGTTTCAAAGCAATCACAGCGCATTGTGTAAAATGGATAGCGATTCATAAGAAACAATAGACGTGATAATGACGTATAGGCAAAATTAAAGAAAAACTTTCAGGTGCCTAACTAGCAAAATACCAGAAGAGAGGGCGAAACCAGTTCGCCAAGATAGGACAATGCCTAAGTCAGAGGTAATGGAGAAGAGAGCCAATGAGTTCGACAGGCAGGTAGATGTATTGAACAAATATTTAGAGGAAACGCAGGTGGACATTAGGGAAAACAACAGTAAAATGTTTGGATGGAGAAAGATAGTATTTCTTTGGGAAGAAATAAAAAAGAAATACAATTCTTTAAAGAAAAGTTTGACAGCAACGTACGTTTGATAGGGAAATTAAAACACTAGATTTCGACGTACAGAACACGGTAGAAAAACTAGCAAAACAGGTTCAAGACAAGTGTCAACCAAAAATGGAGGGCTGCATGTCAAAACAAGGAGCTACCAATGCTCCCGAAAATGCAGGTACCCACCTTTTACGGGGATTCCAAAGAATGGGATCTCTTTGCCGAGTTGTTTACAGAGTTGGTTCAATCAAGAGAGGATTTGAGTCCAGCTCTATAATTTTTCAACTATTTGAAAACGGCATTAAAAGAGAAGCAAGATGCATGGTGTCGCATTTGCTAATAGGCTCCGCAGAAAATTTCAATGCGACTTGGGAATTATTAACCAAGCGTTATGAAAACAAAAGAGAAAATATTTTCCGAACAATTAAATAGGCTTATAGAGTTGCCAGGACTGAACAATGATTCAGCAAAGCACATTAAAGCATTTATTGATTCAATTAATGAATCAATACATTTAATAAAATTGAAAACGGTCTTATCAGAAGACGTTGATGTAATTTTTGCACACATGATTATTTGCAAGTTTAATAGAGAAACGTTGCAATCATATGAAAATCATGTTAAAAGAACAAAAGAAGTTCAAAAATTGTCCGACGTAATGGAGTATTTAGAGCAAAGGTTGAACGCTCTAGGCTCATTGAAGGATGAGGAGAAAAAACCGAAAGTCAATAGGGACTTTTCGGAAAATTGCCCAATTTGCAAAGTAGCAGGGCATTATGCATTACAATGCTTTAAATTTAGAGGCATGAGCCCAGTAGAAAGGGCAGAAGCCGCAAGAAAGGCACAATTATGTTTAAAGTGCTTAAAACATTCAAGTGCCAAGAGGTGCACAAGTGAAATTTTATGTGCGAAATGCAACAAATACCACCACACAACTTTGATAGAAGTGAAAAGGCACATGGTGGTGCAAACTACAATCATATCTGAGGCGGCAGTCCAGATACTAAAGTTACCTAGATTGAGGGCGATCACCAAAATTAGTGGAGTATCCTCAACAGAGTCTAGTGTATCAAAATATAAGGTCAAAGTATGTGTGGATACTTTAGACCCAAAAAAGGAGCCGCTTACAGTAGATCCAATAGTTTTGCTAAAACTGATGAAAGCGCTCCCAATAAAATCAATAAATATTGATAAAATTAAATGGGAAAGCTGATGCGCAGTTTAACAAACCAGGTCGAGTAGATATAGCTATCAAAAATGACCTGTACACTCACCTTTTAAAAAATGGAGTAGTAAAAATCGACGGGCTTCTCGGCCAGAACACAGAATTCGGGTGGATAGTGT